TGCTAACACTGGGAGCTTCCTCTAGTAAGCTCATAAAACGCTGCACACACTTACACTTCAAAATCACACCATGCAACCCAGTCCCCAGCATATGCTGCTTAATACAGATGAAACTTTGCGCCTAGAAACATTATTTATGTACATTCTATAATTAGAAGAACATTATAGAAGTGCTGTTCTAGAGCTCAATTGAAATTACATATTTGTAGCACTACATGTTCTTCTTCTGTATTGCTGCTGACTGTGCTGCTTCTGTTCGTATCGTTCTCTTTTCTAAGTCATTTTGGATAGAAGCATCTGCTAAACAAATGTAAAAGTATATTTTCAGCAATATGGCTCCAATGAAGAGTGTAATCCTAATCAGTGACAGTTATCTGAACTTTAACAAAATATAGTTAAAAACTAATCATATTTTCTCAAGTGCTATTATTGCTGAAAGGTGTTTGTTACATTTCCATTAAAAGTGCTGTCAGTGATTTAAGCACTTTTGATAATTACAACAACAAAGACAGCAAACCTAAATGCACAAATTGATTTACATGCAAAGAGTGTTTCTAATGGCTGTTTTCTGATTGGCTGAAAAAAGCATATGCACTATGATTATTTTTTTCCTGTTACAGAAGCAGGTGTGATTTCTTATTGCAAATGTTATCAATAATACTTTGCTCAATTTGACTCGTATGTGATATATATAAAAAAAAGAATGCTTAGAAATCCTTTGAAGCACTTTGAATCACCACATGAATCAATATAGAGGAGCCTAATAAAGAGTTGATAATCCATGTGTCGCAAGTCAACAGTCATCTGTACCTCAGGAAAAGTCATTAGTCATTAAGTCAGAAAAAACTCTGACTTCGCATGCAGCCAAGAGATTAAGCAGGCTGTATTACAGGTGACTTGTAAAATAGAACAAAGAACAGGTGCAAAAAAAAAAGAACAGAAACCATGACAACACAAATAACATTATGCAGACAAGGAACTCTGGTGGTGAACTTGGAATCTGTGCTAATGGATTTGATACAATGCCCTCCCTCTATACAGATACACTACCATTCAAAAGATTTGAGTCAATGGGATGTTTTGTAATAGGAAATTAATACTTTTATTCAGAAAGAATGCATTAAATTGATTAAAAGTGACAGCACAGACTTTTAAATTGTTACAAAATATTTATATTTCAGATAAATGCTGTTCTTTTGAACTTTCTGTTCATCAAAGAATCCTGTAAAAAAAATCCTGGTTTCACAAAAAAAAATTGAGTAGCACTGTTTTCAACATTGATAATAAGAAGAAATGTTTCTTGAGCACCAAATCAGCATATTAGGCGGATTTCAGAATCATGTGTCACTGAAGATTGGAGTAATTGCTGTTTTACTATCACAGAAATAAATTACATTTAAAAACTGCATTTTAAAACAGAAAAGTTAATGAGCTCCAGGAGGGTGTTGATAACCTAAATTGGGCTTTATCTATCTGGTTTGGTCAGTGTGGGACAGCTGTCTTTGTTGTCTTTTACATTTGGAGCTCTTGAGTTTAAGCAGATAGGGAAATGGTGCATTGTTCATTTCCTATATGGTGGAAAACAATGTAATGCTGGGTGTGCTTTAGTGGATTAGTAGCATAAAGCAAGCATATATTTACTGTATATGTATATCGCAAGTTGAACATGAAAATGAGAAACGAAAGAAAGAAAGATCTAAGTTGTAGTTCTACATACCACGGTACATTTATTTTAGTTTAAGAGCTGCCTCATAGCAGGGGGTCTTTATAATCACTAATCTCTCTTTGGTTTAAGAGAAAAGTTCTACGTTGTGTGTGTGTGTCTGAGTGTGTGTTTGGGGAAGATGGAAATTACAATTCAATAATGGGAGGCCTAAGAGTAGAGCTGAATGCAGTGGCAGACTGGTGGCTTGGAAAGTTCAGTTCTTGTTCTTTTGTCAGTTCTTTTAGTTTTGTGCTAATGATGGTTTTAGGGGGTGTTCTACCCTGCTGTTCAAAGAACAAAACCGAGAGAGGAGGAGAGAGAGAAAGAGAGAGAGAGCTGACCTTGGCGAGTGAGAGGAGAGGTGGGTAAATAGATTGTATTGAGGTTACCTTGACAACTGGCTATGCTGATTTTGGCCATCTCTGGCCCTATGGGAAAAGGAAAGAGGGGGAAGTAGGGAGAGAGAGAGAGAGAGAGATGGTGAGGAGTCAGTTATTTTATGTGTGGTGTGTGTGAGTGTGTGAGTATGGGGGGAGAGAGAGAGAGAGAGGCTGCCATGCATGGACTTCATATTAATCATTAACACAATGTTCCCGAAAGTTCCTGCCAAACTAATACGGAAGATATTCATGATGCACTTATTTTCCCTAAAAATTCTCTCTCTCTCTTACAAGCTCTCTGTCTCTCTTCCTCGTTTCTTTTTCTTGTTGCTAGACTATGATAATTCTAGTGGAATTTACTTGCTATTAATTTCCTAATATAACAAGGGAAAATGGAAGCACTGATTTTGGCCAAGCAATAAAGATTTATTCCATGACACGTATAAAGATACACACATGTATAATCGTGCACACATACATTAATTTTATTATTACAAATTAATTTTTTATTAATCATTTTTAATTTATTTTAAATGACAAATTATGTTTTTTATTATTTATTTTTTTTCATAGAATGCTACTTGTGTTAACACTTACCTAGGTATTTAGTACTCTATGGAACATAAAGCAGTATAGTGAATTTTCCATGCTACATTGTCCTAAAAACTATGGTAATACCATAATTATTTTTGTACATTGTGCTGCGGTACTTATCTGTGTTCATGTGCATTGTGTGTGACTGCGCTAAAGTGTTACTTCAGCCCTCTAAGACTCCACTCAGCAATCATCAGCTTAATTGAATTTGCAAGGCATCGAATGGAGAAAATGTAACCAGTATTTTGACTGAATCAGCTGTCCAGATGATGAATGAGACAGAAAGAAAGGAAGAAAGAGAGAGAGTAATCTGTGTACACTGTACATCCTTTCCACACATACTGCACATGTGTAGAGGAAAAAAATTAAGGGTGGAAAAAACCTGGAGAACTCCCTAACACGTAAACCAGCGAGGCTTTAACCTTCATGTCAGCCTAACTGGAATGAGTGACATCACTGCATAAACACAAAGCTGATAGAAGGAGTGTTCTTATTTAGACTACTCACGTTGAGCAGCACCCTCTCTCTCTCTCTCCCTCTGGCTGTGTACGACATTGTGATAGCCTTAGTATGTATGAGTTGGAACGCTCAACAATGCAGTTGGACACAGGAAGAAAAAAGGGGCTGGGTTGGAGGGTGAAGAAGAGGTTTAGCACATTTGTAACCTGATTCGTATGGAGTTGCAGGGAGTGTCTGAATACTTGAGATTGCTATCGCTCTGGGATTGCGCTTTTTGTGTATGTTTGTGTGTGTGTGTGTGTGTGTGTGTCTAACCATATGCACTGCCATGAGAGTTGTGGCATTAAATCTGAAGTACAAACACAGAATGGCGATAAAGACAAGCATATACAATTGAAACTGTTTTGAACTGATATCGAACCCTCTCGCTCTAGGTTAGGGGCCATATCTTCCCAATGCTTGTCAAAACATGAAAAGTGATTAACTTTGTATTGTAGGCTTGTATTTGAATGAGCAGGGTGGGGGGCTCCTCTCTGTGTGTGCATTGCATTGTGTGTGTGAAAGAGCTTGGGAGAGGGGCTGCATGTGTGTGTGTGTGTGTGTGTGTGTGTGTGTGTGTGTGTGTGTGAAGCGCTCTGTAACCTAAACTCTTCTGACTCCAGGTGCAAGAAGAGGATTAGAGCACTCTTTCTCTCTTTCTGTTTGTGCCAGCATTGATATGAGGTTGTTTTGAGGGTTATATGTAAATATGTTCACTTATCTGACTCTGGAGTAATTTTGGTTGTACTTTTAATACTTAACAATTCTTCACTTTTGGACAAAGAAATGCCCATTAGAATAGAAATTAGCACTTTATCTGAGTTTAGAGATCAGCTCTTAGCTATTGTCAGATGTGTGGTTCATAATGATGATGATGTAGATATCCAAATAAGCAGAAAATAATGTCTTAATGGGAAAAGCCATTATTGGACTGTTTTCCCCCCATCAGTCTGTTGAGAAACAAAGTCGTATTTACAAAATAGCAGGTTAATATGATGAGTGGTTTTGCCTAAGACCTGAAACCTCAAAACAATTCCACATTTGTGGCTTTAAATCTTTGAAGATACTCATAGCTTTGCTGGAGCCAATTTAACCAGATTTCCAAGGGAAGATCTGTATAATCTATAAACTTGTTTTTCAGATTTTTTTTTCTGTGAAATAATCAGTAGACAGACAAAAAGTCTAACAACAAAGTCTACAGGTCAATGTTTTGTTATTTTGTGTGTGTGTGTTTTAAGAATATTAATGTGTTAATGTGTGCTGTTTTGGTTTGTTTGCTTTTTTCTACACCATCCCAATGCAACCAATGTCTCAAGTTAATTATGCATGGATGCATGGCCACTGACGTCAACAACAGGTTAAAGTCCACCGGTTGAGACTCTTGAGAACCACTGCAATATATAATTGTATAATTGTGCATATATCCGTGTGTGTGTGTGTGTGTGTGTGTGTGTGTGTGCGTGTCTGTGTGTTTGTGCAGTTATATGCACTTTTTATGATTCGATTAAGTAAATTGTTCAGTGACTCATCCATAACACACAAAAAGACCCTTGCTACAACCTACAGAAAAAGGATTTAAAAGATTCGAGTCACAGGGATGAAGCAAAATCCCCACCACTACTGTGAAAAGCCCATACGCGTGTAAACTAGAGCACAGAGACGTAATGTCCCTTTAAGCGCAGACTGCGAGTGGAACATCTGCGTCTCCTCCTCTGTGACAACGCGCATAGAAGCGTCCTATGGACTGCCTGACTCCGCCCACCAGCCAGGAAGCTACAGAGCTCTGTGATCGTAAGTGGCCGTGTAGAGCGAGAGCTGACACAGACGTTTGTGTTATCTGTCCCTGTTCAAGAGAATCGACATGACTGGCGCTTGAACGGAATGTCAGATTAGTTTTCATTTGGACGCAATCCTCATTCCTCGTTGCTCGTCGCGCACACAGCTGGGCGATAGCACAATTTCCAAACTGATATTAACCATCTTTTATTAGATTCCCAATCAGGCTTTTCTTTATAAGACAGTTTACACATACTGAAACAAAGTGGATTTAACAGTGGCTACGTGGTTTACCCGCACTCCAAGATGCTTCTGGTCTCCCAGCGGCTAGACTCACCTCGCATGGACCCATTAGTGAGTTTATGAGTTTCATATTATTGGATTGCTTTGAATGGTGGCTCGTTCCAATGTTACGATCATTTGGTGTTTACAACTAAACCCCTGTGTATTTCACTTTGTCAGTACGCGCACCTCATACACCTCCACACTGGCATTTGCTTTTTATACTGTAACATTCCTACTGTTATGCTTGAGGTCCACGGTGAAGTTTGGAAACTTGAGTGAAGAAATCCCAGTTTTGTGTGTGTTAGATAAGGCAGACATAGATTAGAAGACAAGCTTGAAGACTGCACCAAAGATTAACTGGCGCTGCCCCACGCATTTACGCACACATTCCGAGGAAGTTCCATTTACTGTATTGATTTTGCTAGTATTTTTACGGAATTATGAAGTAGTCATTCTGACTAGCCATATGACAAGTATAAGGCTGTTTTAACATGAGATAATGTTACTGGTTGCAATTGAGCTAGATAGGAGATGAAGTAGCTGCTAGTAGCTTATCTTTTAAATATATAAACTACAGTAAAGATGCAATATAAACTAATAACTTATGCGAAATAACTATTAGTCTCTTGTGAACAGTTGATATTTGTATCACAGATCCCTATAGAAATCAGTGATTAAAATATACAGTTATTTGTCATTACTGGGATTGTGACTAGTAGCAGAGGAAGTACTGGTGACTAATTGAATAGATTCACTACTGGAATAAGTAGCCTACGTGTAGCAGTTGATGTATTGGTCAGTGCTTGTAATTTAAAAAAAATGTGCTAGTAACATGAATAATAAATACTAGTTAGTTGAAAGGTTTGCAAACTCTGATTCAGAGAGAATAGCAGGTTTAAAGAGACTCGAGATCCTATCAGCGCAGCGTCATTTAAACGGCTTGCATGCATGCTTTATCGATGCATGTAACGCAATTTGACGATTGATAAAAACCTTTGTTTTCATGCATACGGCTGAAGGCAATATAGAGTCAGAGAGGTAAATGTCCCACACTGTTAAAGCAGCATGTAGTCAGCTTGTTGGAATGAAATGGCATTTATCAGACACTCAGCGGGGCTGCGCTCGCTAACAAAAGACTGAAAACTGGGGGCTTGGACGAGAGCGCGGCTCTGGGGCTGCAGGCGCTGTGTAAATCATCTCAAAATGAGCGATAATGTGAATTTTCACTGTCGGGATTGCGGCAGCGTTTAAACCTAGTGTTTAACAGTTAATGTAGATTTCTGAGCGATAAGAGAGACAGACGGTGGCTGAAATGCGGGACAGTACTGCCAGTGTGTCCAGGATTAAGCAGAGCTAGCTATAGCAGAATACGTAATGGGATTATTAAAGTGGCGGAGGGCTCGTTCACTATCAGAATAAAAAAGACTAGAAGGCAACTTGTATCACTGATTTTCATATAAGCAAGCGAGCAGTGTCTATGTCTGTCTGTTTTAGAACACGCTTGAGATCCCATGTAATTCAGTTTCTTGCAGATCAATAAACTAAAAGGGAACGTTCAATGACGCGCCTGATTTACGCGCTGTCCCCCTTCCCCTTCGCTTTGTCACGGATTTGCCCAAACACATTTCCGAAAGCTATTATTGTATTTTCACCGATACAGCATGTTTACCCCCGATGGACAGTCCCATCTTCTCAGTATCATACGTTTCCCTTTAGTTGAACAGGGAGTTTCCTCGGATCCTTTTTTTTTTTTTTTTTGTAACATTTGACAAGCGGTAGCCTAACTGATGAGACTATAGGAGAATAAAACCGTTTTTGTTGTTTTTTGCCAAGAATAAAATTGATTATGAATAAAATACGAACAAAGTGCAATTGTTTACACTAGGCATATATCAATCATTTTCGCGAGACTGTTTGTTGACATGACAGCCACTCGTGTATTATTAATTTTCATTTTTCAGCGGGTCCCGCCCACATAACCCTTTGACCCCTAACCCAGGTTAAGGGTTTAGATCTTTTGAATTAGGTCATTAAGAGCAGGCAGCTCAGTAAATAAATGTTATTTTAGGCAAGCCAAGCTAAGCCAGAGCCATAATAATGTAATTATATAAATAAAAAATACCTAATTGTTATTGTATTGTTTATTTTCGAATTATTATTATTAAAATATATAACATTTTCAAATAAATAAATATATTTTCAATAATATTTATACTTATTAAATATAAATGACATTTTATTTTATTTTTTTTCATTTTAAATGTATTAAATAAATATTTTACAATTCTGAGTTCCTCTGTGAGCGTGTTGTTTTTCTGGAATCCAATACCACAGTTGTAGATTTCCCGCACCGGATATTCTGCTCCAGTCGATTTGAACTGATCTGTGGCCAAATGAGTCAGTGCGCTTTGAAGCTGCTGTTGACGGATGAATAAAAGGGCCGGAGAGGAATGCGCGCGCTAGTCTACGGATCTCGTGCACGCACAGAGCGGTTCACTGTAATGCGAGCCGCGCTCGTGAATACACTTGGATCTCACCTCAAAGTTTAAAACAACACATCTAACTTTTATCTTACCGCTGTTTCTATCACTGAGTCAGGGCTTGTGCGAAGGAATTTAACTCTAAGGGGGTTTTTTTCTTTGTGAGTTCAAAAGCAGTCTTCAAAGAGCGAGACTCAGCACACCCTCATACCACAAACAATCGCTCTGTCATTTTCCTGCGCTAACTAAGAATCGTTCTCGGTGCATCACCTTGAGTGACTCGTTGTTCCTTCGTGAGGAGACAAGGATGAAATTGTGCTGATTTGCAGGAGGAGCCATATGGTGGATCGAGGAGATAGATCAGGATGGGAGGGAGAGATGTAGATAGCAGGGTGTTGAAGTGATTTCAATCCAGACAAAGAAGAGAGTAAGGTTGTGCTGTCCTAGCCCAGATGTTTTTTTCGTGGTGGTTGATGGTCATTTATACCTCATTGTCATGAGCTTGGGCGTCAGAACCATTTTAAGACCAGTGATATTGGATCCACTCACTTTTACCGTTTAGCACAGGAGTCTGTTCACCAGGGACGACTCTAGGATTTTCATTTTAGGGAGGCTCAGCCCCCAATGAGGGTATAATAATAAAAAAATAATAATAAATGAATGAATAAAATAAAATGTTTGACTGGGTGGGTAGGGTGGTATAGCCTACTAAACATATTGCAATATTCCACTGTATTGCATAGATGGGTATAACATTTGAGTAATGAATTAGCCAAATACAAGTCTTCCTGATCACACACACACACCTGTTTACTGTACAAACATACATTTTTACTGTTTGCATTTCCTGTACAAACCTCTTTCTATGCTCAAGTACTGACTGTCTTTAATCATTTCTGCGCATGACTGTATGGTAGTTAGTGCCACATGCTGTAATATGTTTATTGAAAGTTACATTTTCAAATGAAAATAGCAACATGACCGTTTTATAAAGTATGCGGTCACTTCATATGTGTTAAGGGCTACATTTTCGCTGGAGGAAACCGCTTTGGTGTGATGAGGGGTGAATGGAGCGAAAACTTTACAGTAGATCGGGAAACCGATTGCTCCCCCATGACATTTTGTAAACTGTATTTATGACAAAGGTCTGGCTGTGTGCTCACGGTCACTAAACAAGCTGCTATTTAAGTGAATGGTCATCATTGGTTCGCCTGCTGCTTTTAAAGGCATCATGTTGTCTTTGTTGCAGCATTGAATTACAGTTAAACTATGTTGTTATGACAGTTATCTGGCATTTTTGCTAGGCTAGCTAGCTAGCTACAGTAGGCCTGCATCAGTTTGTTTGATCAAAACAACTTACTAGACTTTTGTTGCTGTGTTCATTTTTGGGAAACTTTGCCAGGTATGTGGCTATGAAAGCAATTGTTTAATTAAAAGGCACCAGAATACAGGAAATGCCATCTACTGTACTCCAGTAAAATTTTTCTGGGGTTGGACCCACCCACCCACATTTTATTTTTATTTTTTTGCTTCCAACGCCCATGGTTATGCTCAGGATGGGCATGAGTACCTGGGTAATTGGAAGAGAAATAAATGATTACTCATAAAATTACATTGATTGTGTGATTCCAACCCGGTCTCATCAGAAAACATAACCGTTTTAGTCAACTTTGTGGTCTATAAGCAGCACACATGCTTTTCATAAGTAGATCCATATCTAAATCAATCAAAGTGTCCACATTAGTCATATGTAAAAAACAAACAAACATCTTTTTCATACATATTCAGTGGAACCCTGCCAGTTCCAGACCAGTTCTTTGGTACTGACTCTTTGCAAAGAAAGGGAACTGAAAACACGAAAGGGTGAATGAGAGGAAAAATGCATGGGCCATCCGCCCATGGAGGGAAACCCTCATGTGTTCCTGCTATCGCTCTGGCTTCCTGATTTAACGTCACATGGCGAAAAGGACAGAGAGAGCAAGCTAAGGTGAGGAAGGAGAGAAAAACTGTCACTGTGATCAGGCAAGACCTCACCAGGAAATAACAGTGTTGCCTAGGGATGAAAAACAAACAGGAGCACAGAATATATATAGAATATTGGGTTGAGTAATTTATTTTCCTGTCTCCAACACTTTGCACAAAAAACTTAGTCAGAGGTACTAGACTGGAGAACACTCACCTCAGAACTTTGCCAGCTTAAAGTGACTCTCCAGAAACCCCTGCATCTCTCTGACACGTGGAAGAAAGCTTACAAGCACCTAATTTTTGTCAGAAGTGAAAGCAAAATCTGGCACAGCAGTAAATGAGAAGATGAAGTCTACAGAATGGCTTAACTGACAAGATGCGCGTTAAATATCGCATGCGATTTATCGTGCAGCCCAAGTCTAAATGCATGAGCCCAAATAGTGTTGTCAAAAATATCAATGTTGGTACCAGTCGGTACTGAAATTTAAAAAATGTGACTATACCAGCATTTCCCACTAGCATACTGAGCGCTGTTGTGTGGATTCTCAAACACCTCTAATTGACCTATCAGTAAGCCCTGCCCCCCTTAGTTACTGTTGCTAACTCAGACAAAGAAAAGGAGTT